AGTAATTCCCGTGTTATGGAGCCAGGAGTAAGCCCTGAGTACCGCCGGGTGTGGCCCACAAACCAACACTATATATGCAAGGACAAACCCCAAGCCCTCTTGAGTAGTCATTTCTCTGGGAAAACCCCTTCCTGTGTCCCGGCCCAGCCACTGGCCGCCACTCTCCTGGCTCCTGTTCCCCTTCCTGGGAGGGCATTTCGGCCTCCTCTACCAGCACCCTTAGCGCCCCCCAGCCCCACCCCCACCCCAGTCTCTGGGTCTCTGGCCCACAACAAGATCTGATGCAATGGCCTGGGGGTTGGGGGGTCTTTTGTTTGGGGGTTTGGGGATCCCCTCCCCCAGCCCCAACGACACCCCAAAGAGCGCCAGGTGTGCAGGAAGTGCAGCAGCGGGCGATTTCCTGCCGCTCTCTGGGGGAAGCGGTTGTGCATCTGACTTTCTTTTCTTTTTTTGTTTGACTCCCGGCTGTGGCCAGCCGGCTGCCGTGCTGAGCTTGAATGAAGCCAGGTGGACTTAAGCCGAGCGTCGCCAAGGCAAAGGGTGCTGGGCGAGGTCTTGTTGGTTAAATAGTTTCTGAGGAGTGTTTGCAGAATTATTGAGCAGCTTTTTTTTTCCTGCTTTTTTGGGTTACCCAGCGATGCTCAGGGCTTACTTCTGGCTCTGCATTCAGGAGTTACTCCTGGCGGTGCTCAGGGGACCATATAGGATGCTGGGAATCGAACCCAGGTCAGCCGCGTGCAAGGCAAACGCCCTACCCGCTGTGCTATCTCTCCAGCCCCTTGGGCAGCTATTGTGGTTTGTTGTTTAGTGGGTTTTTTTTGGGGGGGAAGGGGGGTCGTCCACAACTGGCAACACTGAACTTCTAGACAGCTCACCCAGGTTCCAAAACCCGAAATTCCATAGGGTTTCTGAGCACTATCACAACTGATCCCTGAGCACAGAGCCAGAGTAAGCACTGAGTACTCCCAGGTGTCACCTCAAACAAAGGAGGGGAAGTGCAGGAGCAATAGTACAGCAGGTAGGGGGCTTGCCTTGCACATAGCTGACCTGGTCCAGGAGTGATCCCTGAGCACATAGCCAGGAATAAGCCTTGAGTACTTCTGGGTACCCAAAACCAAAAAAAAAAAACAAAAATAGGAGGGAGAATAAATGCTTAAAATTCGCTTAATGGGGCTGGAGAAATGGTCCAGCAGAGAGGGCACTTGCCTTGTACCAGCCAACCCAGGTTTGATGCCCGGCATCCCATAGGGTCCTTTGAGCACCTCCAGGAGTAATTTCTGAGCCCAGAGCCAGAAGTAAGCCCTGAACACCGTCGGCTGTGGACCCAAAACCAATAAAAGTGCCCCCTCTTAATGGACCTTTTTAAAAAGAAAACTTAGGAACTTGTCCTCTTAGAGATTTTCTTTATTTTTTTAATGGATTTTTGGGTCACACCTGGTGATGCTCAGGGGTTTCTGCTGGCTCTGCACTCAGAAACTACTCCTGGCTGGGCTCGGGAGAACATATGGGATGCCAGGGATGGAACCCAGGTGGGTAGCCTGAGTGCATGGCCAGTGCCTCACACACTGTCCTCTGGCTTCAGCCCCGGTGGCTTTCATCACTTAAGAGCCTGGAGACAAACAAGCCGTGGATACACCCGCGGTCACTTCAGGCACCCAAATGCGCCTCCAGCCCGCCCAGAGCCATTCCCAGAACCGGTAACCTTGACCTGATCAACAACCATAAGCAAAAGGAGTGCAATTTCTTCCCCTCTTTAATTTTAATCGTGTGTGTCTTTCCCTGCGCGGGGACCCAACGCAGGGCCTCACATAGTAGACAACCGCTCTCTCGCTGGAGCTACATCCCGGCCTTTCTAAGCTGCAAAAGTCTTCGCAAAGCTGGGGGGTGGTTGTGGGGGACTGTCCAGGGGCCCCCGGAGCTGGCCCTTTAAGGGGCGGGCAGGAAGCGGAAGTGGCGTCACCGGCTCGCTGGACCTTTTTGTCTGCTGGCTGCGCTGGGGGAGCGAGTCGGGCGCGTCGTCCTGTCGTGGATTCCATCAGTGAGGACCCGGGGCGGGAGGGCGGGGGGCGGGGGCCCGGGGGTCGGGCCAGGCTGCTTTTGTCCCGGGACGGCGCGGGGCCGCCTCTGGCGGCCCCCGATCGTTTGCAGCTGCCCCGGACACCCCCATTCCGAGGCTGCGCTCATGGGGGTCGGAGCGGGGGAGAGGGGGGCTTCCACCCACGTGCTCCCGGGGTGCCCACCCCCACCCCCCGGCCCGTGCGAATAACCCCGGTGATGTTTCCGCAGGAGACGGAGGATTTCCGTTCGGCGGGTCCCGTTGCTCAGGCTTCCCCCCCGCCCCCAACCCCCAAGCCCTCGGGTTCTCCCGGACCTTGGCGAGCCCCCCGAGTGTCCGTGTGAGTATTGGGGTGACAGTGGCCACAAAGAACCTGATGTCCTATATTCTGCAAGGAAAAGTTACGCTTTAGAATTCCTCTTTGTCTTTGCACTAACCCCCCCTCCCCCCCGCAACTCAAAACGTTGCTGGCGTGGCGGGGATGCGAGGGAAGGACCAGGCTGGCCACTGCAGGGATGCGCGGAGCTGGCCACCGCGGGGATGCGCGCGACTGGCCACCGCGGGGTTGCGCGCGGCTGGACACCGCGGGGTTGCGCGCGGCTGGACACCGCGGGGATGCGCGCGGCTGGACACCGCGGGGATGCGCGCGGCTGGACACCTCCGGGACGCGCGCTGCTGGACACCGCGGGGATGCTCTCCAGGGGGGTGAGCCTGCTGGCCCCGAGCTGCAGCCAGCCAGCTGTGTAAGGCCAGCACTCCTAGGAGACCATGTGGTTCTGGGGGTGCTGCTCAGAGCTAATGCAAGTGTCCACATGGTGTTTTCTTTGGAAAGTTGCCTGCAGGTAGAAAGATAACAGCGTGTCTGTGTAAATGGGAATAAAATTGATCTTCTTATTCCTTTGGGGCGGTAGAGATAGGTAGAGATAGGACCACAGGTAGGGAGCTGGTCTTGGACACTGCTGACCCGGTTGGATCTCCTGAGCCCCTCAGGGGTTGATCTTAGAGCTGAGCTGGTCGTAAGCCCTGAGCACCACCGGGTGTGGCCTGAAAAAAAATGGTTCAGCTAAGGATCAGCGGTATCCTTAGCTGAACTCCCGCAGGTCTAGGGATTTTATGTTCATTCCACAGTAGAGTTATTTTGAACACAGAGCCAGGAGTCAGCCCTGAGCACAACCAGTAATACCCCAATTCTCTAAAAAGAAAAAAAAATTAAATTTTTATTAGCAGGATACTTGGACTGAGTAATTTTTCCCTACATAAGTGCTTCTGTAAAAGTATATACCTGAAGGCCTGGGAGAAGTCATAAAATTTGGCTGGACAGTAAAATCTAATTTGTGATCAGAATAAACCCCTCTCCCCCTTTTTAAAACCGTTTTGCATGTTTTGTCCTCAGCCATGAACACAGTTTTATGGTAACTGTTTGAAACTAAGGAAGATCTCGATAAATTGCAGTCAGGATAATTACCTAGAAATTCTTAGTAGTACAGTTCCTGAGAGAAGGGCATTGATTATCCCACCAAAACCAAAAGTCTTTGTTTTGTTTTAATATTTGCATTTGATGTCCACTCTGTTTGACATCAGAACAGGTGTACAAAAAAAAAAGTGGGTCCAGTATTTTTGGTTGCTTCTGGACTGAGATCCTTTTACATTAACGCAAATTTTTAGGACTTTGAATCCTTTGAATTTACTTATGTTTCTGTTATTTGTTCAGTACATTGATTCTTTGAAATGTGCCAGTTCTCTTTAGAAAACCATGTATTTTGATATTTCTGATTTTTTTTTTTTGCTTTTTTGCTTTTTGGGTCACACCCGACGATGTACAGGGGTTCCTCCTGGCTTTGCACTCAGGAATTACTCCTGGCGGTGCTCAGGGGACCATATGGGATGCTGGGATTCAAACCCGGGTCAGCCGCATGCAAGGCAAATGCCCTATCTGCTGTGCTATCGCTCCAGCCCCTTTGATTTTTTTTTTTATTGTCACAGTATTTATTATTATTATCTTGCAATTTGGGTCACACCAATGATGCTTGGGGTTACTCCTGGCTCTGCAGTCAGAAATGACTCCTGGCAGTTCTCGGGGGACCATAAGGGATGCCAGGGATCAAACCCAGGTAACCCACATGTAAGGTCAGCACCCAACCCGCTGTACTATCTTTTCGGCTTCTGCCTCCTTTATTTTTATTAATTTGTAATACATATTTTTAATCAGACTTTTCTACAGCTATAATACGTTTTGCATCAAAGGCAATTCTAAAATTTTTCAGACTGCAAATGAAACTATCTAAATTGATATATGCATATTTGATGCTCAGTTATTCTTGTCTAATTATCTAGTTTAGTTCAGAATTTCTTTTTTGTAAAAATAAATTGTAGGCGGCTGGAGCAATAGCACAGCGGGTAGGGCATTTGCCTTGCACGCGGCCGACCTGGGTTCGATTCCCAGCATCCCATATGGTCCCCTAAGCACCGCCAGGGGTAATTCCTGAGTACAGAGCCAGGCGTAACCCCTGTGCATTGCCGGGTGTGACCCAAAAAAGAAAAAAAATAAATAGTAGGTCCCTGAGAGAGAGTACCGCGGGTAGGGCGCTTGCTTTGCATGCAGCCAACCTGGGTTCAATCCCCGGCAGCCCCATTCCTGCGCACAGAGCCAGGAGTAACCCCTGAGCATCGCTGGGTGTGGCCTGAAAACCAAAAGAGAAAAAAGAAATCATAGCTCTGCTCCTGGTGGGAACTCTTGGCTAGCAGGTGAGGTGTAGGGCCCCTCCACGCCCCCAGCCCCCAGCATGGTACCACACCCCAGTGTCCCTGCGGGAGATCTCGAATGTGACTGGAGGGGGTAGGAGCAAGGGGGGTTGGGGGACCCTGCTGGGTCATTTGGCACAGGAAGGCAACAAGCTCCAGGCTGTTGGGGGTTCACGCCTTGTTGGGGTTCTTCCAGCTCTTCTTAGAAGGACCTTCTCTACATCCTGGGAAAAGCAGGAGGCCGGAAGAATGGAGATTGACAGTTGGACAGACGGTCCTCAGGTAAGATAAACTTATTCCAGAAGCAGGGCCTCCTGTTGTCATGGACATATGCCAAGGCCTGTGACACTCCACCCCCAGCTTTCTCTGAGGAAGAAACGAGGGCAAGGCGGGCGGGTGACGGGCCTCCCCAAGGAACTGCCTCGCCGTGTGGGCATCAGGTCGTCAGCAAAAGTTACTGGACGCTAACGAAACATGAATTCCCAGTACTGGCTCCTGTGGCAATACTCTGCTGTTTGTCTTTTATTTGTTTGGGGCTCCCCGCCCCGACAATGCTCAGGGGTTACTCCTGGCCGTGCCCCCACAGGGGCACCCTGTGGGGTGCCGGGAATTAAACCCAGGTTGGCCGTGTGCAGGCTCCCCACTCTCCTATCTCTCCAGCTGCTCTGCTGGGTTTTATGATGATGATTTTGCTGAAGGATCGTGCATCAAAGGCACACATGTCAATTTTTCATCCATTAAGCTTCACCTGCTTAGCATTGTGCTCTAGCCTGAAAACTAGGGGAGAGTTATTCGATCATTGTGATGGGGCTGGAGCAATAGAACGGTGAGGAGGGTGTTACCCTTGCACACGTCTCATCTAGTTCAAGCCCCAGCTTGCCATATGGTTCCCTGAGCCTAGTAGGAGTGATCCCTGAGTACAGAGCTAGGGATAACCCTTGAGCATCGCTGCGTATGACCTCCCTCAAAAAAAAAAAATTTTTTTTTTAATTATTTCATGTGATTTGAAGAGGGGAGAATGGGCTGAGAGAAGGGCTCTGAACCGCTCCTGGCTGGTGCTCAGGGATCGCTCTTGGCAGGGCTCTGGGGCCATATGAGGTACCATCTGGACGATCTCACGTGATTCTTGAATCATTAGAGCCATGGCTGGGGCGATTCAACATGATTGAGTGTAGATGCATGTTAGCCAGAGGCCCAGGGCCAGGACAGCAACAGGACTGGTGCCTGCTTTGCACACAGTCGACCTGGGTTCGACCCCCAGCACCCGATCGGCTCTCCTGAGCCCCATCAGGAGTCAGCCCTGAGATGTCAGGCATGGCCCCGAGCCTGCAAAAATTTAGGAGGAGGAAGAGGGGCGATGCCCCAAGGCCATGCATGGCAGGGCACGGGGGAGTGGGGGCTGGTTCCTACCCCCGCCCCATGTATGCTGGCCCAGGATGCAGTGACCTTTCCCGATGTGGCTGTGAGCTTCACCCCGGAGGAGTGGACATGCCTGGACGCCTCTCAGAGGAAGCTCTACAGGGATGTGATGCTGGAGACGTGCCAGCACCTGCGGGCCATTGGTGAGCGCCGCCCTCGGGCCGGGAGCAGTACAGGCACCCCACTCTGCCCTCCAGAGTATCCCTGTAGCCCTGGGGACCACTCCAGCACCCGGACAGCTCTGTCCTCTGGATTCGCCGCAGTGCCCCATGCTGGCTTTGCACCGTCTGCTGTGCTGGCACCAACCACCTGGCGGCAACCAAAGGTGTTTGCAGGCAGGGCACTGGCCTGACCTGTGCCCAACCTGGGTTCAATCCCCAGCATCCCGTAGGGTTCCCCAAGCGCATCCAGGAGTCAGCCCTGAGCAGAGCTCCACTGGATGTGGTCCCCCCACCCTGCAAAAAAGGGCAAAAAAGGGCAGTGAAGACTTGGTTCCTGGGAAGGTGGGCCAGGGTTTCAGTGATGCTGAGTCTCCTGATCACGCCTTCCCCATGCGCAGGGAACCCGGGATTGAAGTCCAGTGCCATGTCTTGGCTGGAAGAAGAGGAGGAGGAACTGAGGGCAGTGGAGGAAGGTGAGTAGCCTCAGGCCATCCCTCCGGAAGGGGATGACCAGGTTGTGTGGGTGAATGGCGGAGGTCTGGGGCCTGGGACCCCACCCGCTGTGGCCCCATCACCAACATTCAGAAATGTCAGGAACTCGAATCTGGTCATGCTCTCAGAAGACCCAGGACATTTGGTCTTTTGTACATACCATTGGCTCCAAATTTCCCGTGACGGGACTGGAGCTGTAGCATAGGGCATTTGCCTCACATGTGCCCATCCCAGCTTTCATCTCCGGCTCCCCATAGGGTCCCCCAGGCCCCGCCAGGAGTGGTTCCTGAGGGCAGAGCCAGGAATCGGCCCTGAGGGTCGCAGGGTGTGGCCCCAAAACAAAAATATTACTGTGATAGTCACAAAATTATCCGTTACATTTGAAATTTATAGTTTTTGAACATTGTATTACTCAGTCATTGGTTCACAGTAGTATGTAAATTTTGCATGAGAAAATGCAAGCGATTTTGATCTCATTCAGCTATGTTTTAGGGGGGAGTTTTGTTTTGCTTTTTGGGTCATACCCAGCGATGCACTGGGGTTACTCCTGGCTCTGCACTCAAGAAATCATTCCTGGCGGTGCTCGGGGGACCATATGGGATGCTGGGAATCAAACCCAGGTTGGCCACGTGCAAGGCAAAAACCCTACCCGCTGTGCTATCACTCCAGCCCCTCTTTTTGGGTTTTTGGTGGAGAATTACCCACGTGCTGCTCAGAGCTTACTCCTGGCTCTGTGCTCAGGGATCACTGCTGGTGGGGCTAAGGGGATCTTCTGGAGTGCCGGGGATCGAACCTAGATCAGCTGCATGCAGGCGCCTTACTTGCTGTACTATGGCTCCGATCCTTATGCTGTGCAGATTCTTACACTTCACATTCTCTTCTCTTAAGAGTGGGACCAGCAGCTTTCAAACTCAGACACCGAGCTTCAGCCGTCTGATGCTGAGAATGAAACACCCGTTAGAATAAAAACGGTAAGACCAGGAAGTTTGATTTCTGTTTTGTGGGGGTTTTATTTGTCTCAGGGGGTCACACCCGGCAAAGCTCAGGGTTTTCTTTTGACTCTGCACTCAGGAATCACTCCGAGCAGTGCACAGGGGACTGGACCCTGTGGGGTGCCGGGGATTGAACCTGGGTCAGCTGCATGCCAGGCCAGCACCCGCCCCCCCACTCTGCTATGGCTCTGGCTCCCGATTGGGAAGTCTGGACATCACTGTTCCTTTTCTTATTTATTTATTTGTTTGTTTGTTTGTTCGTTTATTGCTTTTTGGGTCACACCCGGCGATGCTCAGGGGTTACTCCTGGCTTTGCACTGCACTCAGGAATTACCCCTGGCAGTGCTCAGGGGACCATATGGGATGCTGGGAATCAAACCCGGGCAGGTCGGCCACGTGCAAGGCAAATGCCCTACCTGCTGTGCTATCTTTCCAGCCCCATCACTGTTCCTTTTCTTCCATGTTGGAAAAATGCTGAGAGTTTTCCACAGACGAAACATTCACCTTTGCCACAAGGGGTGACCATGTCAGAGAACCAGCACTCACCCCCTAGAGGATGCGGCCTCTGCGGAGGCCCAGTCTGGGGATCCCTCACATCCAGCTGGACAGATGCCTGCACAGCTCCCACGGGGACTGATCCCTTGAGATAGCAAGACGTTGGGTGACCCAGAGTTCCATGGCCATGGTAGATAGACTCTCCAGATCAGAGACAAACACCTGATCAGGCAGGAAGTCCCTCATTCATCCAGGAAGTCCCGAGGCGGGAGCTCCATGTGTGTCCTGTGAACAGTGGAAGGCCGAGTCTGAGGGCCAGAGCCATAGGACAACAGGCAGGGTGCTTGCCTTGCACGCAGCCCACCCAGCTTCGATCCCCAGCGTTGCATCGGGTCCCCTGAACCCCACTAGGAGTCAGCCCAGAGCACAGTCGGGTGTGGTCCCAAAACCAAGACAGAGGGTGGGGCTGGATCTATAGTACAGTGCGTAGGGCATTTGCCTTGCACGCAGCCGACCCAGGTTCTATTCCCAGCATCCCATAGGGTCCCCCGAGCATCGCCAGTGCAGAGCCAGGAGTAACCCCTGTGCATTGCCGGTTGTGACCCAAAAAGAAAAAAAAAAAAGCCAAGACAGAGAAAAGAAATCTTAGTCCAAGTTCCAGCCAGTTGGGGGAGGAGGGGAGCGTGAGCAGGGCCTGGCCGGTGTCCGGGTGACGGTGTCTGTGTTCTCTCCAGGAGCGGATCGAGGAGTGGGAGATGTACGAGTACGCGCAGTACGGGAAAGACTTCGGCGGCCCCGGGGAGACGCCGCCGGGCGGAGAGGCCGCCTCGGAGGATGAGGGCGGGAAAGGCCTCCTGGGCCCCAGGCGGAGACCGTCCCCCGGGAAGGCCTTGCTGGAGTCAGCGGGACTAGCCGGCGCCACAGACGTAGCCATGGACGGGAAGCACGATGTGTTCGGCGGGTCCCCCTGTTTCCACCTCCACCCGGTGCATGCCGGGATGGGACCGTATCCGTGCCATGCCGAGTGCGGGCTCGACCTGCCGTGGCCCACGCACCTGGTGGACGCCCACGGCGCGGTGGCCTTCGGCCCATCGCCGCACACCGCGGGGCCGCCCCGGAGCCCCGCCGAGGAGAAGGTGTTCAAGTGCGACAAGTGCTGGCGGGCCTTCGGCTCGCTGCCCAAGCTCACCCGCCACTTCGTGACGCACACGGGCGAGAAGCCCTTCCAGTGCAACATCTGCTTCAAGACCTTCACCAGCTCGTCCTACACCCTCATCCACAAGCGCGTGCACACGGGCGAGAAGCCCTACGTGTGCCGGGAGTGCGGCAAGGCCTTCACGCGCTCCTCGGTGCTGGCCAAGCACGTGAAGATCCACAGCGGCGAGAAGCCCTACGTGTGCCAGGCTTGCGGCAAGGCCTTCTCCAAGGCGTCGGGCCTGGGCGAGCACATGAAGATCCACAACTCCGAGAAGCCCTACGAGTGCAAGGAGTGCGGCAAGGCCTTCCTCAAGTCGTCGGGGCTGAGCGAGCACGTGAAGATCCACACGGGCGTGAAGCCCTACAAGTGCGACAAGTGCGGCCGCGCCTTCTCGTCCTCGTCCAACCTCACCAAGCACTTCCGCACGCACACGGGCGAGAAGCCCTTCCAGTGCAACCTCTGCGGCAAGACCTTCACCACGTCCTCCTACGTGGTCATCCACAAGCGCTCGCACACGGGCGAGAAGCCCTACGTGTGCAAGAAGTGCGGCAAGGCCTTCACGGCGTCCACGCGCCTCACCAAGCACCTGCACTCGCACAACGAGCGGCGCTACCCCTGCGAGCTGTGCGGCAAGGCCTTCGCCAAGGCCTCCAGCGTCCTCCTGCACAAGCGCACGCACACGGGCGACAAGGCCTTCGAGTGTGCCGAGTGCGGCCGCGCCTTCCTCAACTCGTCCGGCCTCACGGCCCACATGAAGATCCACGGCAGCGAGACGCCCTACCGCTGCAAGGAGTGCGGCGAGGCCTTCGCCCAGTTCGCCCTCCTGGCCAAGCACGAGGACACGCACTGGCGACAAGCCATCGGCCTGTAGAAGGGCCTGGGAGGCGTCCTCTGGCCTGGCCCTGCGGCCCGGCGGGTCCATTCGGTTCCCGTGCCGCCTGGCCCCGCCCCGCCCCGCCCCACCTCCACTGACTTGTGTGGCCCCAGAAGCAGGCAGAACATTGACATTGGAGGGGAAGGTTCCAAGCGGGGCCAAGGTGGAATGGGGGTTTCTTCCTCATCACTTGCTGAAGAGTCGAGAAGCCCCTGGAGAGAAGGTGCTAGAAGATTCTAGAACTCATGGCCGCCACCACCCGTGACAGGTTTAGAAGATTCTAGAAGTCGCCCAGAGAAGGTTCTGGAACTGCATTTCTTCTTTGCTTTGCCATTCCCAGGTGTTCCCACACCGCAGGGAGCCTCCTTTCCTGCCGGGGTGGGAGTTGGGGGCATTTCAGCTCCCCCCTGGCCTTTGCGGGATGGATGGATGGATGTTGTCCTCAAGGACAACACAGGCCGCCCTGGCTCCTATGTGCTAAGAAGAGGAAGCTGGGGCTCCCTGCCAGACGCATCTCCTGCCATGCGGAAGTTCCCAGGAGCCAGATCTTAGCCCCCTGCCCCGGTCCCCATGGGGGGCAGAAGCCTGACAGCCACATGTGAATGTGCCCCCACCCAGCCCTGCCCAAACGCAGTGAACACAAGTACTGAGTACCCGGGGTACTGGGCACTTGGGTACTAGGTGCCCAGGGTACTGGGGGCTGAGAACTGGGTACCCAGGTACCAGCCCACAACCCAAGCTGGATCCACCCGAATGGAGCAGCTGTGGGGAACTCGGGAGGCCCCTGGGGGTGGGGGTGCCTGCCGCAGGCCTGCAGGGGTCCAGGGCGTGCGCCTTCCCCCGCAGCTGCAGCTCCTGCCTCTCCCCTCGGCCCCGGCATCTCTGATGGATGGGTTTGGCCAATTCGGGCCTCCAGTGACTTTCTTTGGGGAGGTGCCGACTCCCAGGAGGTGTTCAGGGACCCTGGGCCACACCTGCCGATCCTTGACCAGTGAGACAGGCTGTTGAGGACCCAGCCTAGGCTGTGGTGCCGTGGGGATCACCAGGTTCCCCCCTCCTCACGGCGCCCAGACCACTCCTCTGCCCCCCAGCTCAGAGCAGTGAGCTCTGGACTGTCCCATAGTCACTAGACATCCCAGCTAAGGCATCAAGAAAATCCATGTGTAACCTTGGCAGGTTCCTCCCCAGTGCTGATGCTTTTCCGTAACTATTTATCGGGACGCTTGGGATCGATGGAAACAGGTCAGCGCATCTGGGGGCCATCTGCACCCCTCGTCCCAAGGGCCTTGGGATCCCCGTCTGGGAAGGACGGAGAAGGTAGCAGATGTTTCTTCACCCTGCAGATACACCTCTCAGCCTGCCTGGAACCCCACTTTCTTGACTCGGGTCAGGGGCCCGGGGCCCCAGGTGAGCCTGCTGATGTGCAGGGCCCATACCGGGGTCAGGGTTCAGCATGTGAAGTGGACGCACTCACCTGAGCTTGCCGTCTCGGGGACGGGGGTGACCCCGGGAGGAGCTCAACCCCACAAAACCCACCCCTCCCCGCCAAGATGTCTGAGTCGCAAAAACAAAAGGCTGCGATGAACACGTTGGAGGGGCTGGAGATCAGCAAATGGCCGGGGCAGCTGTCCCCGCCATTATCCCTACGGGCTGCGTCTGCTCCTGGCTTCAGTGCGCCCAGCGATGCCCCAGGGCGGCTTCGCTCCTGGCACCTTGCTCCGGGTCACTCCTGGCACGCTGGGAGTCCGGGCGGTGCCAAGGCTCCAACCCGGGGCCTCAGGCCCACTGAGCCCATGCCCTTTAAACAGCTCCAGTCCCTGGTCTTTTTCTTTTCTTGAAATACAATCTGAAATGTCAGTTCCCAGGCTTCATCGCGGATCTGTTCAATGAGTGTGGTGCTTTGCTTTCTAAAACTGGATTCTTGTTTGTCTCTGTGTGCCTGCACGTGAGGGTGGTAGGCGGCCAATGGGGGCAGTTGCTGGCGTTTCCCAACTGGACTCAGCCATCCAGGGCCCCCACCTCACCTTGCACCCCAGCTGGGCTCCTCCCACACTCCCGGAACACAGAGCCCCTGGGAAAGGGTAGGAGATGGCTTGAGCCACGGTCCACAGGACCTGCACCCACTTAACACAAACAAAGCGTCTCAGCACATGCCACTCACCCCCACCCCTAGAGTGGCAGTGCTCAGGGATCACTCCTGGCCGGGCTCAGGGGCCCTTCTGGGCTGCCTCGGCCCTGCCTAAGCACGCTGACCCCCAGCAGGAACCGTTTATGGTGATTAAGCCACATTTTATTTTTTATTTATCTATTTTTTGCTTTTTAGGTCACACCTGGCAATGCACAGGGGTTACTCCTGGCTCTGCACTTAGGAGTTACTTCTGAAGGAGTTACTCCTGGCGGTGCTCAGGGGACGATATGGGATGTGGGAATCAAACCCGGGTCGGCTGCGTGCAAGGCAAACACCTACTGTGCTATCTCTCCAGCCCCGATTAAGCCACGTTTTAAGTGTGACCCACGAAGGTCCACACCGCCGTTCCCCAGTTATGTCAGGAACATGGAAATAAACCAGAAGTGCCTGGCTGGGGTGGGGGGCGGTGGGTGAGGCAGGGCAGTATCTGGCCTGGGCCCAGGAAGCACGACGGCCCCGTTTGGGCTGGAAAGTCTGAGCGGGTGGCCTGGAGAGGCGCCCCCCCACCACAGATACCTCAGATTCACCTGCAGGAAACAAGCACACCCGTGAGTGGGTCACTGCCCCAGGACATCTGTCAGAGATGACAGCCCAGCCCCCCAGGACCTGCAGGACAGCAGGTACTTGGGGATGCGTGTATGTGGCCCCTCATGAACCCCCAAGCGTCCCACCTGGTGCCACTGTCTCAGGCTCCAGGGAGGCCCAGGTCAGTGCACATGGAAAGGGGGTTGTGCTCAGAACCAGCTGAGCTAACCCTATGCCCCGCTGGCAGGAAGTTGAGGGGGCTCATGAGAACCTGAAGGAGTCTGGACTCAGAACAGGCCCCTCCCTCACACCCCGTTTTTCACACACACACACACACACCGCCATCAGTGTTTCCCAGAGTGTGGTAAGACCACCCCCAGCAGGGGCACTGGAACAAATGGGTGGTGATGGGAGCAATTGTGGGGTGCACTTTTGAGATGAGAAGGTAGATTTCTGAGGTGGTGTTGTGTTGATTCTTTTTTCTGGTTTTTGTCGTTGGTGTTGGTTTGGCAGCCACACATGGTTCTCAGGGCTGACTCCCAGCTCTGGGCTCAGGAATTACTCCCAGGGGTCCCTTAGGATGTCGGGGATCGAACCCTGGTGAGCCATGTGCAGGGCCAGCACCCTCCCCACCGGACTGTCGCTCTGGTCCTCGTTTTTTGTTATTTATCTAAAGGAGGCGCAAGCGAAGTCATCCGAGGCCTCTGCTCAGCAAACAGGGCTGAAGTGAGCCGAGCCAGAGTCTGGGCTGTGGTGGCAAGGGAGGGGGACCCCTATCTGGGACAGACGCCTGCTGCTGGGGGAAGGAGGGCGCCCGAGTCTGAGTCTTCATTTCCTGTCACCGCCACTGTGGCAGCAACCCCCCGCCCCCCGTTTGGGTTCCTGGATCTCCCTCCCCTGCCAGAATTTCAGGCAGGACAGATGGCACTGCGGGCGGGGAGGGGGTGCCCAGACTGCTAATGCGACAAAGCCCAACTCCACTGCCTCCGCTGAGCCCCTAGCTGCGCTCATCCTGCTGATGGGTGAAGAAACTGAGGCACAAGGTGTGCAAGGCCACCCCCGTCCCAGCCTCACCACGCTGTAACGACCTTTGGGATTTCAGTGGACAGACCACCAGGACCACCAGGTCACGCTGTGTGGATCCCCCACCCACAAGAGAACAACCAGAAGAGGTGGGAGAGAAGAGCAAGCCCCCCACTCCTATTTCTCAGCATCCCCCTCCCTGGAGGGCAGACATGGGCACTAGGGCAGAGCGCCCCCTACAGGAAGTTGTATCTTACGTCTATTTTCATTGATTTGTTGGGGAGAGGGGGGTCACACCCAAGCAGTGCTCAGGGCTGACTCCAGGCTCTGTGCTCTGGGATCACTCCTGGCAGGGCTGAGAGGGACCCTATAGGGTTCCGGGGACTGAAGCCGGGCCAGCCACATGCCAGGCAGGCACCCTCCCCACTGTGCTATTGCTCTGGCCTCCATAGCAACACTTCATTAAATATCTCTGCAGGTTCCAAGGGAGATTCTTGAAAACAGGCGTCAGCATTTGAGCTGAGACTCCCGGGAGTGGATAGAAATAACGCAATCAGGAGAGCTCGTATAAGGGACAGACCTTGGGAGGATTGGGGGGAGCCAGGGGGAGCCCATCCCACAGCTGACACCGGGGACTGTGGGGCAGGTTGCTGTGATCAAGGATAAACTTGCGTTGGGGCTGGAGTCACAGCATAGTGATGAAGGCACTGGCCATGCACGCAGCTGACCTGGGTTCAATCCAGGGCACCCCATAGAGTCTCTCAGCCCTGTCAGGAGTGATCCCAAGCACAGACAAGATTGGGGCTTGTGCACCACCGGGTGTGGCCCCAAACCAAAGATTTAAGGTGTGTGTGTGTGTGTGTGTGTGTGTGTGTGTGTGAAGAATTAATACAGTGAGTGGGGCAGGGCACTTGCCTTGCATGTGGCCAATCCCGGTTTAAGGTTTGATTCACGGCACCCAGCGGGGTCCCCAGAGCATTTGTCAGGAGTGATTCCTGAACACAGAGCTAGGAGTAACCCCTCAGTATGGCTGGGTATGGCCCAAAACAAAAACAAAAAAAAAACAAGGAAATTAAAAACAGGGGTGCAAGGTGTGTGTGTGTGTGTGTGTGTGTGTGTGTGTGTGTGTGTGTGTTTCAAACATTTGCAAATTAAACAACACTGAGAGATAGCCCAGGGGCCAAGGCGCCTGCCTGGCATCTGACCGTCCTGAGTTTGAATCCCTGTATAATAAGGTGCCCAGGCCACCACCAGGTGTGCCCCCCCCAAAAAAAAACAACAGTCTAAGACAGGTGCCAGAGCGATAGTGTGGGGTGAAGGCGCTTGCTCTCACGTAGACACCCCTGACTCCACCAATGGCACTGCACATGGTTCTGAGCTCTGCCCAGTGTGACCCCAAAACTCTTTCTTGCAGGGGCCACAGGCCCTAGGAATGATAGAGTAGTGATGACAGCCTGCGGGAGGGAGCCACAGCAGGGCAGGAACTCAATGGAGGAGCCCTGCGGGGAGAGCCCATGGCAGCAACCAGGTCTGGGGAGGGGCGGTACAGGCACCCAAGCCCTGGGTCCCCGCCAGCTCCCAGCATCAGGGGTCCCCAGAAGAGCACAACTCACCAGGCCCCCTCTCCCAGCTGGGGCCCCGACCCTGGTCCTGAACAATTTTTTTTTGCTTTTTTGGGGGTCAGACCCAGCGATATTCAGGGTTCCTCCTGGCTCTGCACTCAGGAATTACTCCTGGTGGCACTTGGGGGACCATATGGGATGCCAGGGATCAAACTCGGGTCAGCCGCGTGCACAGCGAACGCCCTCCCCACTGTACTATCGCTCCTGCCCCCAGCCCTGAACAATTGCTCTCAGCTGCCTCCCCCTTCCATTACCAAGGCCAGGAGAGGGCTTTTTGTTTTTAGTTTTGGGGTCACACCTGGCAATGCTCAGAGTTGACTCCTGCCTCTGCACTCAGGAATCATTCCTGGCAGTGCTCAAGGGACAACTATGGGATGCCGGAATCGAACCCGGGCAGCCTCATGCAAGGCAGATGCCCTCCCCGCTGGACTCTGGCTCGGGCCCCTGGACACTGGAGTTTATGGAGCTGATTCACGAAGGCCTGAGATCCACTAGGGCACTCATTCACTGCTATTCACTCATTTCCTCACTCATTCATTTCATTCGCTCATTCATTCACTTATTCACTTATTCATTCACTCAGCCAACTCATTCACTGACTCATTCACTCACAATTATTCACTAATTCTTTTTTGTTGTTGTTGTTTGCTTTTTGGGTCATACCCAGTGATGCAGAGGTTACTCCTGGCTCAGGCACTCGGGAATCACTCCTGGCGGTGCTCGGGGGACTATATGGGAGGCTGGAAATTGATCCCAGGTCAGTCACGTGCAAGGCAAAAGCCCTACCCGCTCTGCTGCCACTCTAGCCCTGAACTTGCCTTTCTGCCCCTTGCTTGGTACACAAATTTGTTACTTGGGGGCCACACCAATGACGCTCAGGGATCACTCCTGGTGGTGCTCACCCTATGGAGTGCCAGGGACAGAACCTGGGTCGGCCACGTGCAAAGAAAATGCCCTCCCCGCTGTCCTATAGCTCTGACCCCTGGAAAAGACTTGGACCTTGGGGATGGGGTGGAGATGTACTGAGGACACGGTGGCAAACCAGTGCTGGGGCACTTGGACAGGGTGTCCCTCACATCTGTGATTCCTGGGCAGATCACTAGGTGGGGGTGGGGAGTGGGCGTAGCCCAGGCTCCAAGCCACTGGTTCTCTCTCTGCCGAGGATGCTTTGGACCCCTCCCCTCCCCAGCCCTGTCCTGAGAGCACAGGTCAAGGAGACTCATTGTGAGTTAGAGGGTGTCTGTAAGGGAGGAACCAAGCAGACAGCTGTGTGCAGTACAGACCAGACAGCTGTACGCAATGCAGTTCCAACAGCAGCACACGGTCCAGATCAGAGCTGTGGATGACAGTCCGGAGGGCCAGCAGGTGGGTGGCCATGTCCCAGAACCGGCGGGGACTGTCCTTCAGTTGTTTTGCCAAGACTTCTCCTTCTTTCCATAATCCTGCCTAAGCTTTAGTATTTTTTTGGGCGGGGGAAACAGCCGGCAGAGCTCAGGTATGCTAGAGAATGCAGTGCCGTTGGGAACTGAACCCGGGCCTCCTACAGGAGCAAAGCAGCTGCTCAGGCCCTTGCATCTACCTTCCTACCTTTGGGCTTCATTTCCTTCCTTTCCCTCCTACGTGAGGACGGCATTAAATCCATACCTCGCTTTTGGTAAAATACCCGCGAACTGTGTCTGCACACTGCCAGGGAACGAACGCCATTTGGAAGGTGCCGCAGAGACAGATGGCAGAGGGAGGAAAGGGCTCGCAAGGCAGGCAGCCAACTTGGGTTTGATCCCTGGCACAAGAGCCCCTGGTCCCTGCCAGGAGCCAGGGACTCCATTCAAATAGGGGGCTGCAGCCCTGACAGAAACGGCAGCTGTATGGGCCAGAATGACAGGACAGCGGGAACGGCTTTGGTCTCGCAGGCGGCAGCACCGAGTTCAACCTCCTGCATCCCCACACTGTCCCCAGAGCAGAGCCAGGAGTCAGCCCTGAGCACCGCTGGGTGTGGTCCAGAGCCCCACCCCACCCCCAACTCCCCAAAGGAAGCAGTGCCTTGGGGAACGTTGAGGGTATGGGTGGCTTCCTGCAGGCCTGAGAGCCCTGGGCAGGAATATGGGGTCAGTCTGAGCCTCTGGGCCCGACCCCACTCCATATACCCAGATGGCAGAAGCTGCTTCACTTTCCCGCATCACAGGTGCGGGCACCCGTGGACCACCCTTGCCAGGATGCTGGACATCACCTGAATTGCTAAGCCAGGCCCCGGCTGACCTGCATATGGCAAGGATCAGAGAGTTCCGGGTGACATACAGGAGTCCAGCTGGGTCCAACAGCTGAGCCCACCACCCCAGAGGGAGGCTGGGACGTGGACACACACAAGCTAAGGTTTTTTTTTTTTTTTTGGAAAGTCACACCCAGCAACGCAAAGGGGTTACTCCTGGCTCATGTGCTCAGTTTTTCCTGCCTGCACGGCAGAGCCCAGCAAGCTCCCCGTGGTGTACTCAATATGCCAAAAACAGTAATAACAGGTCTCATTCCCCTGACCCTGAAAGAGCCTCCAATATGGCAGAGTTGGGAAGGACAAGAAAGGAGAGGCTGCTAAAATCTCAGGGCTGGGACAAATGGAGATGTTACTGGCACCCAGTGCTACACGCATGAACTCAGGAATTACTCCTGGCGGTGTTCAGGGGACCACATGGGATGTTGGGAATCAAACCCAGGTCGGTTGTGTGCAAGGCCAACGCCCTACCCATGTGCTATCCCTCCAGCCCCACAAGCTGGGGTTTTAAGTGTCAAGATGGGGGGAGGCGGGAACCAAAAACCACTCAAAAGCAGTGTTTCTTTTTTTTTTAGAAAAAAAAAAAAAACTCCGTGTAACTTATCAAAGCAAATACAGTGTAGGTCCCAGCTTACATTCCGGACACTTCAAAAAGCAACAAATTATGCATGATAAGCACAATATTGGTCTCCAAAAGCATTTATTTTCTGATTCCTGTGACCTTGAATATATCTATTAACTGTGTCCTTACATTCTTCTTTTTTTTTTAAATCTTTTAAAAATCCTTGCTACTTGGACATCTGGCGGGACAGGGGTGGGGTGGGTGGGTCTTAGCTGGGATGAGTCCCTCCTGGGCTCACCCCAGTTTTGGATGGCGACAGAGACAGGACCCAGCCGGTGAGCATGTTCCACGTCACATGCCTGAGCCCCCACTCGGGCCCTCCACACCCTCACCCCACCTCTGCTGGACCCCCAGACTTGGCAACTAGCAAACACACACTGACCCCCACACTAGCCCCAAGTTCCCCAGAGCTGGCCCCGGCCGATACCATGGACCCTCCTCAGCCTCCCCCCCACCCCACCCTGGTGTCTGCAACACACGGGTTCATGTGTAAGCCCTTACCCCGAGGGGGCTGTGGCCAGGGCTTCTGGGCCCTCAGGACTCTTGGAGACAAGGGCCTGCACACCAGTCTCCATAGCAAGGGGGCTGGGCTGGGCCCCACATTTGAGGGGGACAAACGTCCACTACCATCCGTTTTTTTTCCAGGACAGGGAATCCAAGCTCCCCCAGGGCCGGGGTGCCCCCACTCCTGCCCCACGCCCTCCTTTCTCTCCCCATCTGCACATCACACCGGGGTCAGTGCCACCGGCCGGAGGACGCTGCAGCATGTGCTGCTGGGCTGCATCTGGGATTCCCTGCGGGTCTCCACGTCCTGTCCCTGTCCCGGGAGTTTCCGGGGATTTATAGAATGGGTCAGCTTTGGGCAGCTGGAAGGCGGAGCGGGCCCCAGGGCAGGCCCGGTATCCGGTATGGCTATTGGCAGAAAGGCAGCGTTGGTCAGAGCCGGCTGGGACGTGCTTCAGCCCGACACGGCCCACGCAGCCACCCCCCAAGTCCCCGCATCGGCGGGAAACCGCCACGATCTCAGGTTCAGGGAGCCACGGGCTGCGTATCCACACCCAACCGCAGTTAAGGGCGGGGCACGGCAGGCGGCGAGGGACAAGGGTCCAGGGGCCGACAGCGTCGGAGCCCGTCAGGCACGATCAGACCATCTTCCGCCAGCAATTTCCCGGGCGCAGAGCAGCTCCCCATCCGGGACACTTGGGGGTTCACCTGACGCAGTGGCGAGCCCCCCCCCTTCGGATCCCCTGCGTCCTTCTGTCCCATTCAGGCGCTCGGCGCAACGAAACAGCTGTGTGGGCAGAGGCCCAGCTGCCTCCGTCCTGTCCTTGGCAGATCACGTGACACACGTGGCCCCGCCCTGTCCTCGGGCGCAGCAGACCCGAGGGGACTCTTGAAGCTTCCCTGACCGGGCCACGGGGACTGCCGGGGTGGTGAGCCACAATCAGGCAGCATTCCGCCCCCCCCCCCCCCCCCACACACACACTAGGTGTGGACACACACGGGCATCCTGGGACCCGGGACCAACGCGGGTGCTTCCAGGACGCAGAAAACGGGGGTCCGCTTCCCCCCCTTGATCCTTAACCCTCCGGGGCTCACTGGGGGCGCCCACACGGGGCGACACCCCCCTGTCCAGCATGCATCCTGCCGCCCCTCCACAGCGCACGTTCAGGATCTCCATTCATCGAACCAGCGAATGTTCGGGAACCCCTGGCGGAGATCCCCCCCAGTGCCAAGTCTCGGAGAGAAAAAAGTGAGTGGCCTCTGCCAAGAGCCGGGGCCTGGGGCGGGGCTGTGGGTTGGCAGGGGTATCCCACTAAGGCCCGAGGGTCTGGAGGCTGGGAGGGAGGCCGGGGAGAGGGGCGCGGGTGCGAGGCGCCCCCAGCCCGCCCGCCCACCGCGGGCCTACACGGAGTGCGACCGGAGGTGCTTGATGAGGCACGAGGAGGCCGTGAAGGCCTTGCCGCACTCCTTGCACTCGTAGGGCCGCTCGCCCGTGTGCGAGCGCTTGTGGATGGTGATGTAGGACGAGCAGGCGAAGGTCTTGCCGCAGACGTTGCACTGGAAGGGCTTCTCGCCCGTGTGCGAGCGGAAGTGGTTGGTGAGGTGCGTGGAGGAGGCGAAGGCCTTGCCACACTTGTCGCAGATGTAGGGCTTCTCGCCCGTGTGGATCTTCATGTGCACCGACAGCCCCGACGAGCGCGTGAAGGCCTTGCCGCACTCGGCGCACACGTAGGGCTTCTCACCCGTGTGGATCTTCATGTGCTTGATGAGCGCCGACGACTTGATGAAGGCCTTGGCGCACAGGTTGCACTCGTAGGGCTTGACGCCCGCGTGGATCTTCTTGTGGGCCGTGAGCCCCGACGAGTCGAAGAAGGCCTTGCCGCACTCCTTGCACTCGAAGGCCTTCTCGCCCGTGTGCGTGCGCTTGTGGATGAGGATGCTCGAGGCCTTGGCGAAGCTCTTCCCGCACAGCTCGCACTCGTACTTCTCGCCCGTGTGCGAGCGCAGGTGCTTGGCCAGGTGCGTGGACGCCGTGAAGGCCTTGCCGCACTTCTTGCACGCGTAGGGCTTCTCGCCCGTGTGCGAGCGCTTGTGGATGGTGACGTACGACAGCGTGGTGAAGGTCTTGCCGCAGACGTTGCACTGGAAGGGCTTCTCGCCCGTGTGCGTGCGGAAGTGCTTGGTGAGGTTGGACGAGGCGTAGAAGGCCTTGCCGCACTTGTCGCACTGGTAGGGCTTGTCGCCCGTGTGGATCTTGGCGTGCAGCGCCAGCCCCGACGACTTCATGAAGGCCTTGCCGCACTCGCGGCAGGCGAAGGGCTTCTCGCCCGTGTGCGTGTTCATGTGCTCGGCCAGGCCCGAGGCCTTGATGAAGGCCTTGCCGCACTCCTTGCAGGCGTAGGGCTTCTCGCCGGTGTGCACCTTGATGTGGTTGGTGAGGATGGACGACTCAGCGAAGCGCTTGCCGCACTCGGGGCAGGCGTAGGGCCGCTCACCCGTGTGCACGCGCTTGTGGATGGTGATGTAGGACGAGCAGGCGAAGGTCTTGCCGCAGATGTTGCAGGGGTACGGCTTCTCGCCCGTGTGCGAGCGGAAGTGGGCCGTGAGCTTGGACAGCGTGGCGAAGGCCCGCCAGCACTGGTCGCACTTGAAGGGCTTCTCGCCCGTGTGGTACTTGAGGTGGTCGGCCAGGTCGGCGGCCTGGCTGAAGGCGCGCCCGCACTCCTGGCACACGCACGGGTGCTTGCCTGGGTGCATCTGCATGTGCAGGTTCAGGTCGGCGGCGCAGGGCAGCACCATGCCGCACTCGCTGCAGGTGTAGGGCTGCAGGCCCGGCTCCGTCTTGCCGGCCACGGCCACCTCCGACGGCCGCTCCATGGCGCAACGCGGGCGTGGACTGCGGGGTGAAGAGCCGGGCTCAGCAGGGGCGGGTGGGGGCGGCGGGCGCCTTCCTCAGCGTGAGCACGTGGCTGCCTGGACGGGTGCCCCCCGGGGGTCGTTCCCAGCAGGCCTGGCCACACTCCTCAGACGCAGGGACATGTATGCCCGGCCCACGGTTTCCCCTGGGAAAGAAGAGACAAGCCTCCGCTTAGATGCTCGGACGGCCACGAGCCGACCCTCCCTTCCAGCTTCCTTTTTCTTTTCCTGGTTTGGGGGCCAGCCCTATGGGGTGGTGGGGACAGAACCTGGTTGGCCGTGTGCCAGGTAGGTGCCCTCCCTGCTGTGGTATTGACGGCCCCCTTTTCTTTTCTTTTTTCTTTTGCTTTTTGGGTCATACCCAGCGATGCACAGGGGTTACTCCTGGCTCTGCACTCAGGAATTACCCCTGGTGGTGCTCAGGGGACCAAATGGGATGCTGGAAATCGAACCTGGGTCGGCCGCGTGCAAGGCAAACGCCCTACCTGCTGTGCTATCACTCCAGCCCCAATGGCCCCCTTTTCATCTGAGAGAAGGGCACCCCCAGTGGTGCTCAGGGATCAAAGCTGTGTTCCCAGGGCTGGAGCAATAGCACAGCAGTTAGGGTGTTTGCCTTGCACACAGCTGACCCGGGTTCAATTCCCAGCATCCCATATGGTCCCTAGAGCACCGCCAGGAGTAATTCCTGAGTGCATGAGCCAGGAGTGACCCCTGAACATAGCCAGGGATGACCCAAAAAGCCAAAAATAAATAAATAAATAAATCAAAACAAAAAAGCTGGGGCCCCCTCGTGCAAAGACGGGCCCCAGTCCTTGGGGAGGTATCCCCTGGCCCAAAACCTGTGATGTATAACACAGAAGGCTGCAGTGCTGGGGCCAGGATACTGTGGGAGGGCACCTGCTTTGCACACAACCAAGCCAGGGTCCAATTTCTCTCTGAAATCTAGAGATGACAGAGTGACCCAAAAGGCATGAAGCTCGGGCCCTGGCATGCAAAGGCACAGCCGAGGCTTTTTTGCGGGGGAGGGTAAAGGTTCCCACAAAGTGCTCAGGTCGCTCGGGGGCTCCTCCCAGTGATACCTGATGAACAAGTCCGGAGATTCTCGAGGATCCCAGGCCAGACTCAGCTCAGACGCACACAGGGCCTCTGCCTTGACCCCTGAGCATTGCTTTGGTGTCGGGGGACACTCCCGGGGACCATGTGGAGTGAGGGCTCGAACTTGGGCCCCCCCCACCGGGCTGAAGGGCACACACTCGGGCTCTGCTTCTGACCAGGGCACGCTGTGACTCACCATCCATTCTGTCTCCGTGTCCCCTAAGGACAGGCAGGAAGGGTCCCTGAGGAGAAAGACCTGGAAGAGAACAAACCAGTGAGTTGCGAGCACCCAGAGGTGGTGGCAAGTCACACCTCCACTGGCCTAGTTGTCACTGCTCTGGGAATGAGCTTGAACTGACATCCCATTCATGCACTCAAGAAACCTGGGGGTGGAGAGGGGGGCTGGTGCGACAGCACAGTGGGTAAGGCATTTGCCTTGCACATGGCCGACCCGGGTTTGATTCCCAACATCCCAAATGGTCCCCCGAGCACCACCAGGAGTAATTCCTGAGTGCAAAGCCAGGAGCAACCTCTGAGCAACGTTGGGTGTGACCCAAAAAGCAAAAAAAAAAAAAAAAAAAAAAAAGGAACCTGGGGGCTGGGGGAGCCACAGCACAGAGGGGAGGGCACTGGCCTTGAATGCAGCCGACCCAGGTTCCATTGCCAACACCCGGAATGGTCCCCTGAGCCTCACCCTGCTATAAAGGTAAAGGTAAAGGCCCTCCCATTGTTCATCGATTTGCTCAAGCGGGCCCAGTAACGTCTCCATTGTGAGAATTGTTACTGTGTTTGGCATATCGAATACGTCACGGGGAGCTTGCCAGGCTCTGCCCTGCGGGCGAGATACTCTCGGTAGCTTGCCGGGCTCTCCGAGAGGGGCGGAGGAATCGAACTCAGGTTGGCCATATTGGCTGCGTGCAAGGCAAACGCCCTACCGCTGTGCTATCGCTCCAGCCGCGGTACTTATACGGCACCCTGCTATAAAAGAAAAAAAAATCTGGAGGCTGGAGAAAGCGTATGGAGGTGAGGGCATTTACTTGTAGGCCTCGCACACATGCTGATACTGGTTCTATCCCCAGCACTGCGCAGGCCGCCCCCCCCCCCAAGCACCACCAGAATGACCTCAAACCTCGCCCCCAAATAAAAAACGGGGGGGATAGGATAAGACAGCAGGGAGGGCCTTGCCTTGCATGCAGCTGACCCAGGTTTGATCCCCGGCATCCTGTAGGGTCCCCTGAGCCCGAGGAGTGGTTCCTGAGTGAAGAGCCAGGAGTCACCCCTGAGCTTTGCCGGGTGTGGTCTCCCAAACAAACAAAGAGAAAGGGAAGAAACAAAGACCCTGACAATACTATGCGTGCGGTGGGTGGGGAAGGTGCCAAACTGTCCCTACATAATTCAACACAGGGCCAATTCCCACCTGCACAGATGCCAACAGGCCCCCAGATCTGGACTTGGTAACCAACGCGGGTGAAGACGTCCCGGACTGCAGGTCAGAACCACACTGCTCCAAGTTCAACGCCTTCCCTGAAAATTCCTGCCTGTATCACAAAACAACTTGGCTCAAGGACCTCGCTCGGTAAACACTCAGGAATTCTTCACCCCTCCAGCATGCACTAAGGTCCCCCTCCAGGGAGGCCACACAAGTGGGTCTGCAGGGCCGACTAGAAGCCTCGGACACTGCAGGGTGTGACCCCCGACCCCCACAAACAGAAACCAAAACAACACCAACAGCCCCAATGGAACTGCAGCCAGGAACCCCGGACACAGTGTCCACAAACATGTGCTCAGCAGTCCCCCCCCATTTTTCTCTTGAGTCACACCCCCACGAGGAGACACCCTGCAGAATGCTCTCAGCCCCGGGACCAGACCCAGCCAGCAAGCTTTTGGGGTAAACTCAAGAGCCCCCCTCCTACTCCCTACCTTCCTGGCTCCCCGGCCTTGTCTGGTAATACCAACACCAACCGTGACTCAGCAGGGACGCCAAAATCAGCCTTTCCCAGGACTTCAGACGCCCCACCCAGCCCTCCCCACCTCATCGGGCTTCTTGGCAAGGCCTGGTGAACTCGGGCATCATTCAAGCACCCCCAAACACAGGCCCCGGGCGGGGGGGTGGCAAACTTCCACCTGCCCTCGCAGAAGAAACCCAGCATCTTTTCCTTGGACCCAATCCCTCAAATAACTTGTTCACTTTGCTCCAACGCTCGTTCACCCCAAGATTCCACAAGCGTCTTTGAAAAGACTCTTCATCCTTCCATCTGTGCTGGGCTCCCAGCCCGCCGGGCCACCTCCTCCGAGATCTGCCCCATGGGGCGAGGAGCGAGTTTTCTCATAAACAAATACACACCCTCCTCTCCCCTTCCCTGGTCCAAACCTTCCCTCCAGGCCCCCAGCACCTCACAAGGCCAGTCTGTCCAGGGGGTTGGAGCGAGCACAGCAGGGAGGGGGCCAGTCTTGCCCACTGCAGACCCCTGTTATTGATCCCCCACCCCCCAGTCCTCCTTCAAGGGTTCCCAGATCCCCACTGGGAGTGAGCACAGAACAGGAGGAAGTCCCAAGGGCCGCTGGGCGTGGCTCAGAAAAACAAAAGGTAGGCTTATCCGGTGTCAAGGAAGATTTAATCATAAATATTTATCAGGGCCAGAGCCAGGGCTCCACGGGAGATCTGGGCTCTGGACATGCACAGGGCCGACCTGGGCCTGATCCCCCAATCCCAATCAGGAGTGATCCCTGAGCGAAGCCAGGTGTGGCCCCAAATGCAAAAATAAGTATGTCAGGGGCTGGAGCGATAGCACAGCGGGGGAGGGTGTTTGCCTTGCATGTGAACAACCCAGGTTTGATTCCCAGCACCCAATATGGTTCCCCAAGTACCACCAGGAATAATTTCTGAGTGCATGAGCCAGGAGTAACCCGTGCATCGCTGGGTGTGACCCAAAGAGCAAAAAATAAATAAAATGAATATCTATCCCGAGGCTAAAACAATGCCTGGTTGGCCCTCGGAGCCCCATGGGCACGAGTCCAAAGATATCTAATGCCCTGGTTCTGCGGTGACAGTGGTTCCACTTCACTGCAAGCCTGACCTTCACAGCTGCTACTGGCCACGCCAACTACTGCTGGGGGGGGGGGGGGGGGGGGGGGGTTGGGGACACTGCAGGGACACCTGCATCTCAATGGGCACATGCGGGGGGGGGGGGGGTCATTCGTGCTGGGGACCAAAACCCGGGTCCTCCCCACCACGGCAAGGCCAGTGCCACATCCTCTTGATGCTTCACTCCTGGCCCCCATCCTGTCACCAACTAATTTCTTGAAAATTTGCTTTCTGGGCTGGAAATGGGCAACCAAGGGGGCAACAGCGTCTACCTGGTGCACAGAGGATGCCAGGGATGGCACTGCGGGGCATAACTCCCCAAGCAGAAATACACATCAAAAACAATTTGAGGGTCTAGAGCGATAGCACAGCGGGTAGGGCATGTACCTTGCATGCTGCCGACTCAGCATCCCATATGGTCCACCGAGCACCACCAGGAGTAACCCCTGTGTCGCTAGGTGTGACCCAAAAAGCCAAAAAGAAAGAGTTTGATTTCTGGGGTCCAAAGGGGAGCACAAGCACCAAGCTTGAGACGCCAGCCTTGCCCACAGGGCTGACCCAATTTTTGAACAGGGGCCCCTGCGGCCCAGGAGTGCTCCCTGGGCACAGAGCTAGGAGGAAGGCCCAAGCGCTGTCAGGGGAGGCCCACACATCCCAGAACAAGTTCAATGGCAAGTTGAAGGGGCCAACAGTGGCCGCCTGGGATCCTGGTGAGGGCAGCCACGAGACTGGCCAGGGGCTCACTCCCTCGACGCTCGGACTGTATGGGTTAAAGGCAGAGGAAGTGGGGCCCAGGACTTGGGTCGGCCAAGAAAAACACCTGGC